TCTTCATAATATTTCTTTTTTGCCACTTTTATCACATGATTTAATTTATTTTTATATTTTTTGTATATTTTTTCGTTTTTTCCTGTAGGGTATTGGAGATATTTTTTATATAATTTGTTCTTTTGCTTAACTGATTTTGCAATACATCTTGCCATCCATGGGCTTCGAGTTTTGTCAATCTTTCTTTTCGCAACTTTCTTTGTCAATGGAAAGTTTTTTTCATAAGCTATTGAAAATAAGTTGAAAAATTTGTTGTAGGACTCTGTTGTGTTGTTTTCAGAAAGTACATTTTCCCATGATATATTCTTAATTGTATTGGTAAATGATTGAACATTGGCATCATTGATAATTCTTTTACGAGTAAATTCAGTTTTTGAAGTTTTTTTATGTTAATTTTTTGAATTTCGTACATGAACTATTGGTAAATGATCTGAGATATCACAAAAAATTATCCCATTTTTGCTTGATTCCATAATTTCCATGTCATTGGTGAAAATATTGTCAATTAGTGTTGCTGTATGCTGAGTGATTCTTGTTGGTCTTAGTACAAGTGGAATATATGATGATGTGAATAGTTGTTCTAGAAATCTGATACTGTAATGACAAGATTCTGATTTTAGTAGATCAATATTGAAATCTCCCATAAGATAGCATAATTTGTTTTCTTTGTCTATCTTTCCTAGTATTTGATTCATTTTAGTTTCAAATGAGTCAAATTTGTTATTTGGTGGTCTATATATTACACCTACTATTATATATTTTACCTACAGCTGTTATAATTTCAATGAAAATGGATTCAATTACATTTTCAGTACTTGTGTTTAAATCGAAGCGTATTTTGAATTTCAATTCATTTGCGACATAAATGCCAACTCTTCCTCCACTTTCAGTTGACCATTAGTTAGTTACAAAATCATAATTTTCTAGTTTAAATAGATCTTCGTTAGTTTCTTTTAGCCAAGTTTCAGTTAAACCAATTACCTGAAACGGTTTATTCAATGAATATATTAATTGTTTAAAAGAGTCAAATTTATTAGTTATGCTTCCTAATGTTTAAGTGCATCATCGAAAAGTTATTAAGATTTTCATTATTTATTTGTTTTTTAAAATCATTTGGTAGATAATATTCACAGTTTATTATTGACGATTTATCGAGATTTGCGTTGTTTTCAGATAGCGCAATATTATTACTTGTGTCGAAAGGGTTGAATTTCAAATGCATTAGTCTATCCATTTCTTCCTCACTGATATTGATTCCGTTTGAGACAGTAAATTGGTATTCTAAATCATTGAGTGATTGAAAAGGTAACGAATTAGCTAAGCAATATTGACACAAATCAATTGTACTGTTATCTATGCTGGAGTTGAATGACTTTGTGCATGTAGGCACAGCATGAAACCATTTGGTACATGTCAGACATTCAATAGATTTTTGTGTTTTTTGGATAGTTTTGAAGCAAGAACATTTCTTCTTGTGCTCATTGTTAAGTGTGGTCATTGGGAAGGTTTATGGTACAATAATTGATAAGTTCTTTGAATGTTTGCATGGCGATAAAACATAATTGTTTGTGTTGAAAGCTTTGCAGTAATAAATTTACGTGGTGTTTCCACAAACAAAAACAATTAATAATTGATAATTTGAAGTAAGAAATAGACTATAAAATTGTGTTTAGTTAGCAAAATATAGACTATGATATTAAGACTATCAGGTTTCAAACTTTTAAAACCTATTGTAAAAGACTTGCCCTTCAATTATTAGATTATCTCTTACTATTTTGGCCCTTTTATCTTCGGCTTTAGCTTTTTTCAGTTCGGGATATAATGTCTTTCTTACGCTTTCAATTTCTTCAGGGAACTGTTCAGATACCCCGATAATCGTTCCTTTAAATTTCTTCGTGTCTATCCGCACATGTTCTCGGTCTTGATGATAATTGAACTTGACTACGGATCAGGCATGGTTTGCGATTTCCTTCTCTTTTTCTTCCAATTCGAGTGGACTGGTCAATCTTGACTTTATTCTGTGTGTTGCGTATTTCCATTTTCGTTTCGAGTAGTTCATGAATGATTTCGGTGGTATTTTCTTGGTCGCGTTCAGGTATATTAAAGAACAGTAGATTGTCGCACATGGATCTCGCTTGTAGGTCTACTATTTTGTTACGCAATGTGGCGTTGTCTTCCTCCAGTTTTCCAATTCTTTCTCTTGCTTGTTTTTGATTTACTTTGTTTCATTTTCCTGTTTTAAATCTGCTATTTCAGCATGCGCGTATTCCAAGGAATGTTTTATCTCTTTCATGTCTGCTTCTATTCCGTCAAGCTTCTCAAGTTTCGTCATCATAGTCGAGAACATTTGTTGAATTTGGCGCATGTCTACTTCTTTTTCCTCCAGTCTTCTCTCTGGTGTGTTGGGTTTAGGAATTTTAGTTTGGACTGCTTTTAAAGGCGTACATGGGTTGGTGATATTTAAATTTTGCGCAGTGCGCTTGGTGGCTTGCTTCCTGTCTGCCATGTTGATGATGATGGTATAGCAATAAATACAGCATCAGTTGTCATTTAAGAGGTTTGTTATGTCATATGTCATATTCTTGGGCCAAAGTACATTCATTTACCAAAAGATAAAAGTGAAATGCAAAACATTGTTGGCGAATTCGAAGCAAAATTTGGATTGCCCCAGGCATTTGGATGCATTGATGGGACTCACATCAAGATAAAAAGGCCAGTTGAGAACTCACAAGATTATTTTTCATATAAACAGTACTTTTCCTTGAATGTACAAGTGGTTTGTGATTCCAAAGGGTATTTCCTAGATGTAGAATGTATGTGGCCAGGGAGTGTTCACGATGCGAAGGTGTTTGCAAATTCAGGAATTCATAAAAAGTTATGGGATGGTGAATTACCTATATTATGGCAAACATTGACCAACAAAACCTCCAAATTTTCAAATTATTTAATTGCAGATCTTGCATATCCACTGACAACATATCAACTCCGAAAATAATTTTACGATATTCATATTTCTGTTTATTTACCAAATGTTTTCTTACTGCTAAAAGCTTTTCTGCGTTTTGGGGCCTATTTCAAAATAGGAAAGGCGGAAAGTTGTGCTATAAATTACTTGATTATCAGCTGCAAGCTAAAATGGTGACGCGATCGAAATCGAGAGAATTCGAGCAAGAAGTCGCTGTTGGCGTCAGGGAAGAAGTCAGCTCTTTTCTAAAATCTGAAGAATTCAGGAAGATTGTTCAAAGTGCTGTGGCTGAAACGCTGAAGGCATGCATAGATCAGCATGTTCAACCTTTACAAGTCGAAGTTTCAGGTTTGAAAGACACCATTGTTCGAGTTGAGGACGAACTCATTGAAGCGAAGCAATTGCTAAACGAGAAGGTTGTTGTTTTGCAAAATGTGATTGTCAATCTTGAAGAGAAAGTGGCTAGACTTGCCACTAAAGCTAACGATAACGAACAGTACTCGCGGCGCTATAACATTAGAGTATCTGGTTTTCCCGAAGAATCAGATGAGAACTGTTCTTTGAAGGTTGGCCAACTCTGTCGTGAAACCTTAATGCTACCAGATTTTTCTGAGGAACAAATCGATAGAATTCATCGGGTGGGAAAACCTAGGTCAGAT